CAAGGATACAGGAAGCAGTCCATTCTGTATAATGGGAGTACAAGTTATCGTCTCCTATTTTATGCTTCTCAGGGCCTTCCAGTTTTGTCACCTTATTCTATTTAGACTTCTGTTTTGGTAATGAGCCACTTGCACAATATTCACAGCTTACTTTGGTCATAAGTGATAAGAGGAGTATACCATGCTCCACACTATAACTTGACTTTCATAGCCTTCATTTTCAAAGAGCAACAAGAGTATATTATATGCTCCAATTAAGTTGAAATTAAATCTGGCACATTCAATATGCTAGATCAAGATGTAGTTTATCAGAATCTCTAGTATATGCTTACATATTAGCTTTGTTTTTGTTTTTTTAAATTAAAAAAAAAAAAGTGTTGGGACTTTTACTCTAAACTTCATTTTAGCTACACTTGAGCCTCCTCCTTCCTTTTGTACTATTTATGCAGCATTTTTAAACTCACTGGAAAGTTTAATCAATCAATGCAAATCTGGTTGGAATTGGGCATAAAATCATCTTTAGACACCTAACCTGCATTTAAAACAGGACTGAGGGACAAAGCGTGGCAAATGCATCAATACTCCAAGCTGGTTATTAAAACAATCAAGTCAGATATGGCTGCAAGCTTATCAAGGATAACATTGGGAACAATGCTATATTATACACCTTGTCTTATTAGAGGGCTCCTACTGTAGAAGTCAGAGATGCTCTCATAGACACTGACAACTTTGTTACTCTTACAACATTTTCACTAAACGGATATAATATTGAACTCTTATGGTTTCAACTATAAATAGCCTATATAAGAGAATTCCTAGTACTGTATCCATTTAAACAACCAGAGGCAGCCAACAAAAATAATGCACAAGTTATTTGTCTAATAGCAGATGATAGCCAGTCTGTGTCAAGCCTACGCCAACTCTAGTCTCCTGTCACGTTTCTAGCTTGCATCAGGGAGTCAACTATGAGAAACAAAGGGCAGGGTTTCTTCTGTTCAAAACGTTAAAAGTTGCCTTCACTTACAGTGGAGAGTGAAGAGAAGGGAAAGTAATTTTGAAATTAAGATCATGCCTGCCC